AAGAGTAAAATGACAGACTCTAGATATCCCCTATGTGGAAGGATTTGGCAATAGGGTGGGAGGGAGGGGGAAGGGGAGTATGGGAGGAGGGGAGGGGGAGGGAAATGGGATTGACATGTAAAACAAGCTATTTAAAATTAAAATAAAAAATGATAAAAAAACCAACTTCTTTATCTGTAGTAACGCATGAAACTCACTCAGATGCTGAATCCAGAAAGGAGCCCATCTAGCTAGTTGATGCAGAAGTAATTATTAGTTTGTGAATATTTAGAGCCATTTTAACAGGACGGAGGGGGAAACAGCAATCTATTAATATCAGGCTGGCAGTGGACAGATGGACAATTACAGCCCACATGGTTTGTTCGTTTCCAGATCTTCAAGAACCTTAAGAGAAACTCAAGGCTGTTTAGGTAGGCCAGCTCTCCCCCCCACCCCCACCCCCACCCCCCCCACCCCCGCGATGTCCTTGTCATCTAGGCGGCTTGGGGCTGGATGAAGGAACTGAACTGACAGCTCAGTAAGCAGGGCCCTTCCTGCATAGGAAGCTAAGTCTTTTCGGGAGAAAGGTAAGAGTCACCGTGGAGAATCAGTCCCTTGCCTGAGAGGGTTTGGAGCAGTTCCTGGCTATGCAATGACAGGACTTCCTCCCCTGAACACAGCAATGGGGGATGGACTGAGCTGAGTCATATTCCAACTTAAACGGAACTGTTCCCTAGGCCACTTTATTTTGTGCCTGTGCATGCATGTGCATGCGTGTGTGTGTGTGTGTGTGTGTGTGTGTGTGTAAGAAAGAGTTTATGCCTGAAGGGGCTATATTTGTGTGAGAAGATTGCATGTGCTTGTATGTGCGTGTGTAAGAGGCTAGAGGTCGCCACAGATTATCGTCCTCGGTCACTTACCACCTTACTTTGTGAGACAAGAACCTTCACTGAATCTGGAGCTCACAGATTGTTTGATGGCCTGGCCCATGAACCCCTGGGTTCATCCATCTCCAGCATCCCTGCGCTGGGATTACAGGCGATTGTTGGTGTATAGTGGATGAGACTCAGACATTCGTGATTGTATAGCAAAACCTTTACCAACTGACCTATCTCTGGCCTCTAAAGGACTCTACTTGACCATGCTTGTGGGATTTGTCACAATAGGAACAGCTATGATTGGACGTGGCTCTGGAGAAGCACCACGCTGCTGATTCTGAGTGTGAAATATGATGGTATTTTACATGTAGTTTAACCAGTTTTGCATCCAAATTATTCAATAGTTAACCTTTTTTTCCGTGGCATTTGAAATACAACTATTTTGGGTTACTAAACAGCACTCCCCCAAATTCTATTATTAGACACCAGTAGTAGGTGGAGAATTTTTTTCTGCCATGTAGACTGGTGCTCTCCAAATGCACAACACTATGACAGATTCACAGAGCACAATGACTTTGGAGTTTTAAACGATTTTGAGAAGGGAATTGCTTTTATGTTTAGTGGGTGTATTAGCTACCAAATTCAAAGGGTCAAGTGATTGCATTCCTACAAACAGATAAAGGCATTCATTTCACACATACTCAAATCAGACCATCTTTTCTCCCCTGACACCAAGGAGAAATGTTCTTGGCTCTTTTTCTCCCCCTAAGGGTCATTTGAGTCAGTTGAGAACTCCTCCCATTTTTCTTTCACTTAGCTTCCAATTATAACTGACAAGACATTATGCACCTATGTAAAGATATGTGAAGATGTATACAGCAACAGATCTATAGCAAGTACTCATACACACATAGCACTCAACCGTAAGAGTTCAGAAGCTTACTGTGGTGCTCACACCCATAATACCAGCACTCAGAACGCTGAGGCAGGAGGATTGTGAGGTTGAGGCCAGTCTGGACTGGGTTATATATCATTTTTTTTCTTTTCCCCAAGCCCCATTTTAAAATAACTGCACTTAAATTTCCTCTTCCAGGTAGGATTGACCTATATGCAAATCTGGGTAAAATGTTGAAAATAAGCAAAGGAATCAGAGAACAACCTTGCCTTTGATAGTGAAACATGATGTGATCATCTAGAAAGCTCAGGTTTGAAATGTACTCGGTCAAGTTTCAACACACACACACACACACACACACACACCTCACAAAAATTCTCATACAATGTTTGAGTAGGTTTACATTTTGTGTTTGTTCATAGCTATCCTTGGCCAAATGTGCTGCAGGTTGGATAGAAAGTTTAAGACTCTGTGTAGCAGAGAAATCTGGTGAGATTCAGGAAGATGTCCAGCTCCTCATATTGACCTGGGCATCTTAAAAATCTGAGGTTGGACGGGAGTTGCAAAGAGAGACCTTGATGGAGGTGAGGAAATGAGCACATCGATTCAGAATTCTTAGAGATTGTAGTAATGAAACACAGAATATAAACAGGTGATTCCAAGCCCTCAGACAACCCCAACATTTGTGAAATTCAGACAACTGCAGGGTCTACAGGCACATACACACAAAAGCTAAGCTAAAATTCCTGGAAATTAAAAGCAGGACAAAACAAAACAAAAATAGCCAAGATTTTATGCAGTCCTAGAGTCTTGAGAATAAATCATTTAAAAATGTAAGTGTTCAAGACACACCAAGAGAAAGGCCCTTCATAATGAAACTGACTAAAATCTTCCTAGGTTATCAAATCTAGGCCACCTTTAATTTTATGTTGTTCAAGAGTGAAGTTTATCCATTTTAAACAGATATGGAAAAAAGGCAAGATAACTACGTTACATGAAACAAACATACAAACGTAACATTCTTGTGTCTATTAGTAAGGATTTCTTGGAACGTAATCATGACCTTCATATACACATATATTCACTTTGACTGTGGTAACCTATTAAGTAGGTGTGAAGAAGCTGGGCTGACCTTTGAAGCGTTTGCCAAGCTGCACTAGGTTCGTAGCTGAGAGCCCTGGCACACCATTGCCCAGAGAACGAGGACGAACCAGAGACTGACCCTGTCTCACCAGAGCTCAGTCCAACTTCAGTTTGGCTCCATTCTAGATTGGATCATAGCAACTGACAGTGACTCTCTCTGCCTGGAGAGGAAGCGAGGGTCTCAGCTGGAGAAAGCCAGCACCACGTGGAAGGCATACAGGTTTTGAATACATATTTTGCACACATTCCAGAATTCAGAAGTTACACCAACCTTGTGTGTCTGAGCTGATTGTGATGCACAATCGGCTTAACCAGCAGCCCCCAAAGCAATCCCTTAGCATTTAAACACTCAGCAGCAATTCACGTTATTTAAAGAAAAGAAAAATATAACAGGAGTAATGGTATAACCCCAAAGCACTTTTCTTGGGAAGAAAACATAAATTATGTGTCCTGAATAACAGCGTTCAAATGAAATAAATGAGAGTTTTTTAATGTCCTGAACCCCATCTATGAATTATTTTGTAGAAAATGAAAATGAACAGAAAATGATTAGCACTAAGACATTCTGAACAAGACATGACTTTGTCAGGCATTAGCATTGAATCTTAGCATCTACCATCCAGAGAACCCAGATAAATATAGCTGTGCAAAAAAGTAGCAGTAGGATACTATAAAATGCACAATTTTGTTTGTATATGTCTTGTAGGATATAACATGTTGATCTTAGTGGTTTATTTCAAATGAGAAGAGCAACTTAAAGGAGTCAGACAGCTGAGAAATACAGTATTCACAAACTAAAAACTTGTTAGATTTATTTAAGGAAAATATTCTAAGGCTACACATCTGTTCATAAGTAAATTGTAAGTCTCAGATGTAACACACAAGGTAATTTTAATTTATAATCTATCACAATTGGCAATACATGTCATACTAGTATAAGTGCAATATAACCTAATTGTGCTAAAAAGTTACATTATATGATAATTTTATAGGCTATATCAGTTGTGTTCTAAAATGCTAATAGATACAGTTATAAAAAGGAAGTTAAATACAGGTTTTATTAAATTAGTTATATATACATTTATCTATATATAAAATTTAATTTTTAATTTTTAATTTAGCTTGGTAATAAGTATATTTATTTTGCTTTTATAATAGGAACCCAAAATATTATTTCAGGAAGTTAGAGTTATTGTTAAAAGAAAAGTGCTTTTAGAATTAGAGAGAATTTTTCGTAACTTAAAGCAAACTTTTAAAAAGTTTAAATATTCTCCATCACTCTTGTCCCCATCAGTGACATATATTTCCATTTGGGGCCCTAAAAGTTTGATCAAGAAAAGGTTATGAAGGTGATCGAATAATAAACCATTAGGAGAGTCTACTATTTACTTTAAGTAAATGGTAAGAAGTCATTTTGACATTATCTAAATATATTTTAGGAATTGTAAGGATCCTCAATTATAGACTTCATCTATGTAATTTACTAATTCAAAAACAAGGCTTGCATTCATTTAAGACTATTTAAGCAAAATCCAAATTCTTCTCATACATGCACACAGTCCATTTTTAAGCAAGCCTCTGTGTTTATACCACGACCTGGGACAAAATAAGGATTACCTGGGACCCTCATCAGTCATGTTAGTTAACTGCCTGCTTATACAGAATAAAGCATGTCTTTTAAATACAGGCTCCTTACTCAGCCGCAGAATGTTGTTGCCTTTGAAGGGGACATCAAGTATTATTCACAATTCTGCAATATTGTTTTTCTCTGCATCCTATCTGACTTCAGCTAAAAGACCAGAACCCTCTGAGAGACATACTGCAAATGAAACATCCTTAGTAGGTTGGAGAAAGTCAGGCCAGAGGTCACAGAGAACACAGAGAAATGACAGGAAGGTGATATTCTGCAGCATCTCCTTTGGGAGGGACAGTAAACCACATGGCCCCTTTGAAATGCCGAGGAATTTACTCTCCTATCCTAGCAGTAAATATTACATTTAGAAATGGTTTCAGTTAGACTGCTGCCTTTTTACATAAGGATCTCTTTTAAGAACTCACAAACATCCTCAAAGTGCACTGCTGAAGAACATAAAAACTTAACCTACCATTTTCTTTGCACTCTTCTGGAGGTTTAGCCTTTTTCGCAAGTCGTGGATCCAGCCATGATGTTGTCTTTGTGTTATGGCTGAAAAGAAAAGAGATCACTCTGAAAAGACACATTCTAAAAGGAGTCAAGTTTATTCCTTAAGAAAAAAAATAATAAGCCGGGTTAGTCCAACAAAATTGCAATCGATACACTTAATTTGCTTACTGGTTCTAAGTAGCCCTGAAGGAGGTGTAAGAGTAATTGTGCAAGGCAGCTGTAAATTTGGCAACCTCAGCTCCCTGTCCTCAGAGCAGCTATTTTTATTAAAATCAACTAGAATGTTGCCAAGTTAACCTCATTGAAAATGCAGAACTCATCCGGAGCGAAAGGAATTTATTACAAATACAGGATTCTCCAGTTGGGAGAGCAGAGTCCTTACTCTCTGACGCTACTTCCTGCCTTTTGCAGACGCAGTATTTTCATCTTAAACCACGCTTTTCATAAACAGTTGTTTCTGTTAACACAGAGCTTGTAGAGGCAGTGCAAAAGTGAGGTAAATTACAGCATGCTCCCAGGGTTCCTACAGTTTCTCCAAAAGTGATTAATAGCGATTTCATTTACTCACATTAAGCTATCTTACTCCTAAATACTTTCATCCCAGCCAGGAAGGAAGTAGATTTTTAAAAAAATCTGCATTCTAATGTTTTAGAAATGGAATTTCTAGGAATTAAAAAAAAAATCTTGTTGAGGAGAAAAAAAATTGTTTTCTTGTTTTTACTCCAGAAATCTATAAGCAAAAGAAACATTCCCAGAGGAAAGAGACTTTCTTAAAGGGGTGCTGGATCCTTTGTGTTGGGGTCACCTGGTGGACTTGTTAGCAATATATTCTGGGTATTTCACAAACTACCAAGTCCTGGTCTTTGTGTGCGAGGGGAATATGACATGGGGGCCGGGCTGGCACAAATCTCTTGTTGAGAAGTGACCCAGTGAAGTTTACGCATCATAATTCAAGGACCACTCAATGGCTCATCTGGTCATTAGAACTAAGATGTTGAAGACTCCGTACAGCTGGATCAAGGGAGCTCATGGGACAATGGACAAATAACCAGGAATTTAACATTCATGAAGTCTTCAAGAAGAGAAGAGGCAAAGTGATGGGTACTGGGAAGTACAAGGAAGAGTCAAAAGAGAAATGAAAGGAATACAAAAAAGTACAAAACAGGTTAAGTAGACATTAGGTCCAGATCACAGCCTTCTTAGTGGAGATGGAGAACTGTGGAGATCAAGATGTTCACAGGGACATGCATTTTGTCTATTTTTCTGTTTGGTTATAGCAGAGACCCAGGAGTTAGCTAGACCATCAGCTGTATTGGAAGTGAAGATCAGAAAACTTTCCTACAGAGTACCGTCATTAGTCAAATAAAGAAACTGTTGTCCACAAAGGAGATTTCAAGCCCGGAGTCAAGATGGACTGTGGAAAGTCATCCTGAGGCGTCAAAGTATTTTTCAAGCAGTGCTTTCTAAATGGGCGCCCTCCCTCTGCTTACAAGGAGAGCACCTCTGATTTGAGAAGATTGTTCTACTCTGCTTTCCATTCTGTGACAAGTACTATGACCCATGCCAATCATTAATCAAGAAAATGCCCACAGGCCATTCTGATGAAGGTAACTCCACAATTGAGGTTGTTCCCTCTTCCCAGGTGACTGTAGTTTGTGCCAAGTTGACAAAAACACACAACAAAACCCTCAAAACTAACCAGTACAGACATTAAGATCTGTAAGTTATTAAAAGCCAGATCTTGAAGAAAATTCCCCTTTCCTTTTGTCATCGATGTAAGGCTAGGAGAAAGTACTTCCCCTAGCCGCATGAACTCTTCAGCGATGGATGCATCTGAATGGAACTCTACTAGTCCAGTCAGGTACCGCCTATGACCAAAGCGTACAGCATATGGCCAATCTGCCAGTGTTCCCTGTCTCCCAGTTTGACCTGTGTCAAGTCTGGTGGTGCCACATTGCCATGTTTCAAGAGGACTGGAGCTATCTTGGACATGTTCATCTGGTCCTAGACAGATGCCAGTGTAATCTATTCTTTTCCTCTGAGTTGTGGTTGAGGCTTTGAATGTGAGGAACAGAATGACTACAGTAGGTATGCCACTATCATTTTAAAACAGGAGAGAACCACCTGCCTTGGTTAAAGGTGCACAGGTGCCTGTGTTGGAGGACACATCCATGTGCTAATGTCCATGCTTGTGTCAGGTAGGGGAATACATTGGAAGGTAAACAAGGGACAGAAACGTCCCCACTTTTGACCCACACTTGGTCTTTCTAAATTCCCTGCCCCTTTTGGAGAAAACTAATGTCTAGGTTCTTGAGACATATTCGTAAAAGCAAGTATATACATGGGTATGTATTAAGGGGCCATTAGTAAGCCTCCACAGGAGCCAAATTACCATTTCTCTACCACACTAGCATAGGTCTCAAATACCTCCTAATTTAGGAGAGAGCTGTGAGGAGTGTCCCAGCTTTCCCGAGTTTATATAAAGCATTTCATTACAGAATGAATTTTTGGGTTGAACTAGAGTTAGCAGTGTGTCACTTTAATACATTTTGACAGATTGAGTCTCTTAGAGTTAACAGTATTTTTAGCTGTTCCTCAGAAATGATTCTGGAAGAAATGTGGGTAGTAGTTACCTCCATAATTGTCTTAAACATCACATGAAGACACAGCACAGTAGTTTTCAATAGTGGCTCTCAGCAGCCTTGTAATTTGCATGCTCCTCCAGATGCCTTACAAAGGGGATATTTTTAATGCATTTTGGAGACAACACACTAAATAGCTTTCCCACTTCCCTTAAATTATGTATTTTAAACCTTAATAATTCCATTTGAGGATAGGATTTAATGCTGGGTAGAAAACCACACGAAATGGAATCATTGAAGGTCCCCCCCCCCCCAATCTGAATGCTATCTTTTCTCGAATCCAAGGAAGGCATTTCTTTTCACTTCCCTAGTTATAGCGGAGCCAGGTGCTTGGCATCGGTTTTCTATATCATCCGGGATGTGTGCCCCACAGTGACATGAAAAGGGAATGCTGGTGCAGCCTGATCTCACGCCGCGCTTCCACAGATGGGCCTACTCACACTGTGCTTTAACTGAGATGGACCTGCTTAGCCTCCGAGTGCACAGAGAAGCTCCTTATTCTGGGGAGTAAACGGGACATATTTCCCGGAGCTTTGAGTCATAGTAGTGCCATCATTCTCATGTTTCTACAGATGAAACTAAGCAATCATGGAAAGGATCCATCAATACCTATTCAGGGTTAGTTGATGCCACATTTAATAATCTTGATGAAAATCTAAAACACATAGTTTGTCCTTTATAACTACCCAAAACTCTAATGTTAAAACTACACACCAAGGACTATAATAAACCAGAGCAGGAATTTCATTAAAATGTGCAATTCTAGTTTAAATTCATGTCAAGATACCCTGGGAGACACACACACAGGTTGACCTGCAAGTGGGTTGGGAATACCCAGACATCTTGTGACCTTAACCTTTGCCAAGCTAACAAAGCAGCGGGTTAAATAGCATCTTATGTTCTCACATAAGACATGCCTCCTGTCCACTGGGGAAGCTACTGACAGCACCGCAGATGTGTTGCGGCAAAGCAGAGACACTGCCTCTCCCTTCGCATTGTCCATTCTCACCTTCTGATGCTAAGCAACCTTTGTGCTAAAACCCACACGCTCCACTTTCTAGATGCAGAAGCAAAGGTTGATAGCCTCGGGGTAACTGTCTGAGGTTATAGCTAGTACATGGAACAGAAGGGACTGGTGTAACTAAGGGAAACCACACCCACGTATGAAAGAGGTGTGTTGTTTCTAAGTCTGTTTTTCTACGAAGATATTTCCGTCCTTCCCTCTGGGGGTTGTCAGGGATCTAGTCCGATTTTCTGCCAGTCATTCAGAAGAAACCTTGTACTATTTGAGGGCTGTAATCACTAAATTCCTCCGAAAGTGCTGATTGCCTCGTACTCGGCGGGCATTTGGTACATTAAATTGCATGTTCACGAAGGTTAAAGAGAGCACTTGGGGTGAGTCGGCACCAATAATTCCACTAGAAAACCGTCCCTCTATTCAAGTCACTGGCAAACTAAACTGCATCCCTTTAAAACTGACTCCCCCACCCCCAGAATGAAGACCTTTAAAGAAGTTGTGTCTTGTATAATTTGGGAGTTATATCCAGGATTGTACTAAAATAATGGTTGGAGTTATATCTCAGTGGCAAAGTGTTTGTGGAGGAGGCATAAAATTCTGAATTCAATTCCATGCACTGTCAAAAAAATTAAGTTAACGAGAAAAATGTTATCAACAGGTACAGTATTCACTAGAAGCAAATTTAGGGAACGATCAAAAGAGGTTGAGTCAACAGTTGCTTGGAATGTGTGAGATCATTCAGGTTTCAAGGGTACTCATTGTATAGAAACAAAATAAAATGAATACGGACTGTTGACTATGTTTTATTAAAATCCAAACAAAAATATTTTAAGGCATATAAATTTGTTCCATCCTATATCATATCAATGAAAACCTCAGGATTGTCTCATTTCCCAAAGACATTATCTCCCCTATATATTATCATTCAAAAGGAACAGAGAGAGGCTCTATATATATGAATGACTGGATATACGTTCTTGATAATTAACTTTGGAAATGTTTGCTTTAAGATGCTATTTATTAAAACTTTCACTAGTTTTCATACTCAGACATATGCCATACCCATACAAAGCTATTATCAATGACTCCTATGGGGACTGTTTCTTAAATAATATTCCCATGATTTTTCCTAAGAGTATGAGTATGTGAATTTATATCATATTTCTTTTCATGCATTTAGCAAACATCTTTTAAAACAAAATTTATTATAAATAGTGTTTTCACTATTAGAGATATAAATACTATAATGTTTTGTTTAAAATACTTATTTTTGGATTGGAGAATAACCAAAAATCTTATGCATGTACAGAAAATCAGGTAAAGTGAAAATATGAAGCATACCTAATATTTTTATAAATCATATAACAATGTTTGTGCCTGAA